ATGTACGATTTGAAAACATTGTAACAGCGCATGAATTTATTTAAAAGTTATTTCAAATATTTAACGGCTCTCGAGTATTGAAACAATCATTAGTACAGTATAGTATAGTATAGTATAGTATAGTATAGTATAGTATAGTATAGTATAGTATAGTATAGTATAGTATAGTATAGTATAGTATAGTATAGTTTGCGGTCTCGAACTCGCAACTCACTGCTACAATTCTGCTGTGCTTAACCGCCCGGCCTCCTCGCCGATTCTGACCAGAAACTGGCGCACAGAGCTGGGATCGAACCCGCGCCTCTGACCTCTCTAGTGCGTCAATCCTGGTACTTTAAGCACTGGGCCACCCTGCCCATCCCACTGGGCCACCCTGCCCACCTGTGTTACACATTTAATGAATTTTATTTGCTAACAAAACTTTAACTTTCCCTCTACCATGGCAATACCGTTTAGGAAGTTAAGGTGACTTTCACTATTTTCTCTTTAGTCCTTATCTTTCGGATGATCTCCCCTGCAGTTTATTTCAAGCTCAAATTTGTTCCTTTTTATCATTTTAATAATTGTTATATTGTATCATTATTTCTTTATTCTTCTTAAAAGGCGATTATCTATTAGATCTTCCCTTTAACAGGTGCTCACGTTGCCAAAGATATTATTTACACTATTTTTGTATTGCTAAATTCTATTTTCAAAGACCACCTTGTTATTAATTTACGCTTCATTAAATTCCTAGTTCAATTATTTTTATTTTCCAATCTTTCTTGCTGTGTGGGTCACGACTGGACTGGCGTCTATTCCATGGTTGAATTAAAATGTATTAATTCAACCATGGCCTACCCTACGTCCTACGAGGTCAGTTCACCGCATGGTTGAATTAATATGTATTAATTCAACCATGAGTTCACCGGGTTCTATCTCCGAGTCTTGTGATTATCAAAGTTTGGATTGATGGAACTTGTAGTTCATTCCTCTTATGCCAACTCTAATTTCGTTTGTTCCGCAAGCTTACAACTCATACCGAGAGTTGCTGTACCTACTCTATTGTTGCGGCGTTGCCGAGGGGCGAGGTGAAGTACCTACTTTACAATTTACAAAAAAGTTTTGAAACTTGTTAAGTTGTTAGCATTAAAACGCAGATTCCACGTATCAGCCCAGTTAAATAAATTTTTAAGGCCATCTTGGCCTTGCATTTGCACTTTGTTTGACGCATCCTTAACATAACCGCAATTTTCTTTTGTCATCAGCATACTGCATTCGTAAAGCACATGCTCTGGTGTGAAAGGTCTCGGGCCTGCCGGCTTCTAATTCTATTACCGAGTCTTGTGATTATCAAAGTTTGAATTAACGGAACTTATAGATCATTCCTCGCATGCCAATTATTTCCCCCTCTCGGCACGGCATTCCCGGTTCGTCAACTTATTTGGGGCGTTTTAGGCTTTTAGCTGTTGCTGTAGGCTTAACTTACGCTCAGCCGGCTCAGGCATAGTGGCAAAGCAGAGTTTTTTTTTTTTAGACTTTCCCTATCCCTCGTGTTCATTATTCATGATTTTTGAATTTTGAGACAATGAGACTTTTAAGTAGACAAGCAAAGTATCATGGACATAAGAAAATGGTTTAAATCTTGAGTTGAGTAAATGAGAAAATTAAAAATGAATTGATTCTAAAAAATCTCTGGTTTGTCACTATGCAGTATCATAGTAGGTATGGCCAGTATAGGCACTAAGGTTATTATAACACATGCATAGGCTTAAGTAAATAAGGTTAAGGAAGGTTATTCCTTAGTAAGTTAGTACTGCTAGTCTGGAAAAGTCCTATTTTTGTCTGAAATATCGCGGCTCTAATATCATGTAATTTCAGTAGGTATGAAATCTNGCTTAATTATTTATTGGGATTTGGGGTGATATGCACTGCTCTTATATACAGAGAGGACATAATAAATATGGCTTTAATTATGCAAATTGTGCATTCAGTCTTTTGAAAATATTCTTGGGATTGAAGCTTGAGCTTCTTGCTCAAACTTTTCACAACCTGGAAAGTGCTTGAAACAGTTCCTCATCAAGTGGGTCTCAAACAAAAATAACTTTGGTCGAAAAGCCTTCACTTGGAGTTGGGTATACCGTACAAGGCGTACATGTCGCAAATGTCCGCTGTTTTGCCTTGCAATCTAAGATTGAACTCCTTCCTGTGTGTTGTCAGATTCACAGAAGAAGCTAATTTCCAAAGCCATTCATCATTTGTGAGTAGCTGCTGGGGCCTGGGGTCAATTTTTTTCATTCAGGAAAATTTCAATTTCTGCTTGGAGCTCAAAAAATCATGACAACACCTTGCCACAGATACCAGTCATGTCCATTTACTGTTTTCACTTCATGCTTAACCAGAGATGAACGCCACATTCGATTTTTGAACACATTATGTTTAACTATGGAAATCCTAGGTGGGCCAGATGGAACCTAGCCATGGGCTGGATCCGGCCCACTGGCTGTAGTTTGGAGACCCCTGTTCTAAATGATGGACCCCATTTAATAAATGTGTATTTATTTAGGTGTAACTTCAAAAGGAATAATTTATACAACAATGGAAAGAGAAAGTTTTAAATTTTTTTTACATATTTATAAATTTTCAATATATCCCTCTTGTATGGTAAATATCTACATGTTAGCTAAACTCATCCCACACACGAGAAAGCATATCTTTTGTTAGCGAGTGCACTGCAGCAGTGATCCAGTATTTAAGACCAACCAGAGTTACTGGTAGAGGTGGGATGTAAACAGCTTCCTTGCCACAACTTCATAAGATTGAGAAATAGTGACATGGGTTTAAATCAGGTGATATCGCCAGGTCTTCATTTCCTATGCATCCATACTATCCAACATTCAGATAGTGACTGATTAAATGCGTAGATATTTACTACTATGCAGCATAAGGGGGCCATAGTAAAGAAAATCTTTGAATCTTTCTCTTACCATTAGCATATTGAATATTCAATTTGAATTTACTTTTTAATTAAAGAAATTTATTAAATGGGCTCATCATTTAAAATATACCTCTATAATGCAAGCATCTAAAAATAAATTTTCCATTTTATCCTCATAACTTTTGAAAATGGACTTGGAATTCATGCCAAATTTGTACCACTTTGGAATTTGTATTAAATTTGAGGCTTCTGCAAGTGTCAATGCTCAAATTGTTGGTGTTTTATTGATAGGCATTATAACTAGGAAGCTAAACTGTGCAAAAAATGCATGTTGTATGACTAGTATTGGCATGTTTAATTGTCACAAAAGTTGAAATTAATGTTGAACATAAAGTTCAGGTAGGGCTAACATAAAGTAATTACAACAGAAATTGGTAGTTTATTTCTCTATCAATGATGACAAAAATTGCTAGTACAGTGGAATTGCATCAAGAATTTAGATAAAATTGCAAAACACTGAATGGATTTGGCATGAAGAAAATACCTTGTGGTAAATTTTTTTATTTCAGGTCATTGTTATAGGTCCTGAATGACTAGAGCAAGTTATGGGACCTAGTAACACAAATTAATAATTTTGATGGGTGGGTTTTTTTTGCAACTTGACTCGGCATGGGTTATTTTTAGATGCCAAAAATATATTAATTTCTCAGTAAATGATGCTATATAAAAATAAATGAATGAACGTATGTACCTAGTGCCAGAAATATGTACCGTCAAACGGGGTAAAAAGGGACGGGCAGCATAAATCGGGATGCACGTCTCGCATTTCGTAGAAATGTTGCAGCTTAAACTAATCAAAATATTATAAAGCTAGTCAAGAAATCAAACATTTTCTATCTCTAAAAAATTGCTGTGAAAAGTGTGATTTTGGAAAAGTACCTCAGCTAAGGTCTGGGGGCAAATAAAAATATTCACCATATTAAAAAATTTTACTTACATAAAAGTTCATCCAGGTGTTGGCTTGAAAACGTAATTGACGGAATTTGCCTATCTCATTCCAAAAAAAAAATGGCAGCCATTTCCGTGTGACAGGGTAAAAAGGGACACCCTCCTGTGTAATTAGGGACACTCTTAAAAATGCATTTACAGTAGAACCTCAGTTAGCAAAGGCTTCAGTTAACAAAAAAAGATTGATTAACAACCAAGAATTTTGATTACTTTTACCTCGCTCAGCAAAAAAATTCACTTATCGAAAAATTAGTGCATCATTGGTCATGACAAAATTGTACATAGAATGTCATATATAGAATTGTGCACCGGGCATCATAGAATGAAAAGTAATTGACCTAAACTATGATTTATTTCTCCAAAACATGATGGTTGTCACTAAAACATTATTTTCTGTTTCAGATATGTTTTTCACAATTTTTTTTGTTATGTAAAATTACTCAACTCGATTTAAATTGTGCAAAATTACAAACCATCCTGTAAGCTTACAGATAAAGAAGAAATGCTACATGGCTGCTGATATGAAGCTTACAGTGAACAAGGTCATTGTCAATGCTCAATGGCATGTCCATGGATACAATATTATCACATTAATAATATGGTAATTAATGAATATGGTAATATATCAATAAAGGATAAAGAGGAGGACTTCAGAGTACTGTTAGTAATGGATGAGTACACTCTGCATGCTTCAAATGTTTTAAAATTAACTTTTATTGCAAGTGTCCCGAATTTCCCCCTTCCCATGGGTAAATCGGGATGCTTTTATTTTGCATCTGGAACCTTACGAATAGCATATGGAATTTTTTTTACGATGCCATTTGATAGCCTTCCCAAAGAGCTATAAAATGAGCCTAAATTTGTTTCTGGCATGTTTCATGGTAAGAAGTTTTTAACAAAAAATGCTCAAAACCGTCCCTTTTTACCCTGTTTGACAGTATCACTTGCTCCCCTTGAATAATTAAAAATTGTATTCTAAATAGTGGGAAATTTATTACTATCTGCTATTAAAGTTGGGCAAATGAGGAATTAGAGTCTGTATTATTCAATTTTTTATGATCTAAAGAATAATTGTGGATAATTACTTCTGCAAATTTCTCAATATGTAACTATTTTCAAATATTTCAGTGAGTTAATTTGATTATAAAGATACAACAACTGAGCATTTGAGTGCCAGCAACCAGCTGCCATGCCATCAGTTGACTGCAAAGTTTACGTTGGTGATCTTGGGTCATCAGCGTCCAAGCAAGATCTTGAAGAGGTGTTCTCGCAGTATGGCCGTCTAAGCAGTGTTTGGGTGGCACGAAATCCTCCAGGCTTTGCCTTTGTGGAGTTTGATGACAGCAGAGATGCTGAAGATGCTGTCAGGGCATTAGATGGAAGGTAGGTTGATTCATTATTTCATACTGATAGCATTTTATTGCACATTCTTAATGAACAATTAATTTCCTCAATTTGTGCTCCCCTTTATAAAATTTTTTGATTACCTGATGTGCTGCCAATACATATTTACAGCTAAAGTTTTGCTGTTGCACAGTTCTAAAATATTAGCTTGTCAATGAAATTGTCATCACTTCATTGAATACCGGTATATACATATTTTTCTAATGCAATTTTGCTGAAATCAGTTTTATTTGAAAAATCTATAAATTTAATTTAATCTGCATAATAAGAAAAACATTGTTTATTAGCTTCTGTCATTTTTACTTGTATTTACTGTCAAGCCATCATTTTGTGATTTTTTTTCCACTTGTAAAAGATAACTCAGTTTTAGCATGGAATGAAATGTTGTTTTATTTACATTTCAATTGAATGATTCCTAGCATGCCTCACCATAGTTTTTATATTTTTCAGGAGCATTTGTGGGAGGCGTGTCCGAGTGGAGTTGTCTACTGGACGGTCCCGTGGAGGTGGTGGCGGTGGAGGAGGAGGAGGACGCTTTGGTGGAGGTTTGCGGGGGGGAGGTGAGATCAGATTATCCTTGGTTCACATCCATACCATTTTTGGTCCTTTTTCTATTAATATTAGTTTTAAATTTATGTTACATTTTGATATATACTTTCAAACATTTTTTGGTAACTTCAAACAAATTTTGATACATGCTCAGAATTTGTGTAATTGTGTATGATACTGATTCTCAGAGTAGACCAATGAAAACCAAATTTTGATGCATAGTCAGAATTCTTGTTATTTTGTAAGATAATTCTCAGAGTAGACCGATAAAAACAAAATTTTGATACATGGTCAGAATTCTTGTTATCATGTATGATAATTCTCAGAGTAAGCTGATGAAAACCAAATTTTGATACATGGTCAGAATTCTTGTTATTTCTTATGATAATTCTCAGAGTAAATCAATGTATGGCCGGTACCACAAAACCCGAGTTAAGTGCAGATGTTTGAGCAGGAGGCATGGCCCGTGGCGCCCACCCGGAGGACAAATGCTATCAGTGCGGCGAGCGTGGACACTTCGCTCGTGATTGCGGCGTCAGCTCCCGGGGCAGCGCTGGAGGGGCCCGCCGGTCAAGGTAGTGGTGGTTCAATTAGCTAATAGGTTTGTTATAATAAATATAAAGTTGCTTTAAGTTTTGTTTCTATGGGCTGATTTTGCCTTTGACTTTTGTTTTATATACGTATATAGGTTGATTGTTGTTGCCGCTGGGCTTATGTTTGAAGACTGATGGCGGTTTTAGCATTTGTGGTTAAACCAAAGAGGTGTTTATAGAGCTTTGAACGCTTCATGAGCCAGTACTCAATTGCTCATTGGGCTTGTGGATATAGTGCAGCTTGTGTAGCTACAACACAAATTTCATGTAATGTATTGTACCTACTATTGTCTCCGTCATCTAGTGTTTATCTACTTTGTTTCTAGTTGAGAAAAATGTTCTTTCAGAACAGTTTGAGCTTGTTTTCTCACATGTCAGGTGCAAAACAGAGAATGATTTGTTTCAGTTTTGGTTGTAAAAATTTATTATCTGGTGATGAGACTAACAAACCTGCGTTATCTGCAATGCATCTCATTTTAAACTTTTGTGGTCAAAATAAGTTTTTTCCAACATCCATTCGGCATCCATTTAGTCCAAATTTGACATGCATTTGACATTTTGTAAAAAATTCGTAATGGTAGTGTTACATTGCTTCTTGATATTAATTATAGATTACTTTCTCCTGGCTCAAGATGTATTTACTGTTTCGGTTGATTTTGGGCACTGAATTCATCCCAGTTCCGTTGTTATAACCTCTGGTATTTTCGTAAAAGCCTGCCTTTGCTAAATGATTTTTTTATTGAAGAGTTGTTAAATGCTTTTATGTCAGTGCTGGAGGTGGTGGTTTTGATTGATCAAGTCGTGTAAGTAATTTTTTGGCTGCTCTTTTGCTGCTTGTCACTTTTCAGTTTAACTGGTAGAACTATCTTTGATGTAGCTTAGTTAATATTTTGAATTTAAATGAATATTTTACTTGCTATAATTAAGGTGCCTGTTTAAATTCTAGTGCGGAGTAGTTTTATCATTGAAATGGTATCAATTGGTCTTTCTTCCAGCTTTTGAAATTAGATGCGTGTCAGTATGGAGGTTCAAAGTGATCATTTTTATATAAATATACGCACCTAAAGAGATGTTTAGACGATTGTACCAGGCATGAAAGTTATGGAAAAGTTAGGTTATTAAAGTCATAGATTTCAATAAATTTTAATTCAAATGATCATATCATCTTTGATTGATTGTTAACAAAATTTTCCTTTTAAAGTTAATCAACCATATGTTGGCATCCAGACACGACTAAAAAATTTTGTTGTTTAATGTATTATATATCTCTTTCAGTTTGAGTTACTGATATTAGAAGTGCCTGGTGTGATTTGCTTGTGTAAGTTGCAGGTTATTTATACCAGACCATAACTCAGCTTTACCTTTTATAGGCCTCACGGTTGAGCACGATAGCGCTGGTTTAGCCTGCCCTGCCTTCCTTCCATCCGAGAAAGCCTTCCTTGTCGACTAAATTTTGTCAGCAGTTCGTCTCGCCCACGAGAAATGATACCGACGATCTCAATTACCCACAAATTGTTCTGCTGCTAAATTTTACTAGCAGTTCTTACTTCTTGGGAAGAATGACTCCTTTCTTCGAAATCGAAACGTATGTTGACTAAATTTGGCCTGTGACTGAATCACCACAGTGAAAATACCTACAGAAATTCTTCGCTCACAAAGCTTCGCACTGCATATATCGTCTGGGGCGCCTGACTATCTACCATTCGTCTCGTGACGCCTCACTCACAGCCGACACTCATTTCCTCTTGCAGACAACTAACATGGGTTATGTATAACCACCCCACATCATTTCTCCCACGTCTTACCTCACCAACTAGAGCAACACCCAAACCATGTCCAGTTCCTTGATTGCTGGGAGTTGATTTCTAAACGAATTATTGTTAACAAGCTACTAGTTTTTGAGTTCGTACAATTGTGGAACCACTGTTTATGCAAAAATGGTCATTTTTACGAGATATCTACCTTTAAATTACGTACAAAATTCTGGTTACTATACTTGATGAAATATTTGGTCTTAAAATGTTTTGTTTAGGTCTTAACTCCTCCCAAACCTACCTCCCCTCCCTCATCCCACCGTAAATGAGGTTACGACTGCATCCTGCGCATCTGTTACACGATTGCTTAACTTAGTTCTCAATTGCGTAAATGTCGTCATAATGATTCATTGGACATGCCTTAATAATGCGAGGAAGTAGTTCAACATTCATAATGCACCTGCGAAAGTCGTCGCTTTCTCGTTTTATCATTGTAAATCTTTATTAAGACAGAACTAATTTTCTCGTTTCCCATAAGTTTAGACCACAAGATCTTTGTATTCATGTGATATTTTCAAATCATGATTCTCATTTTGAAAAAAAATTCTTGTCAGTCATCTTTCCAAGTGCTGATGTGTCCAATAGTAACCTAATAACGGTTTGCATCACAATTCCTAAATTAAATCTCCTAGTCTTCGTTCTCAATATTATAGGTGCAAAAACTTTCGACCAGCCGTATGGAGACGCAAACTCGCTCTAGCATTCGTACTCAGCCCAAACTCGCCTGGTCTTGATTGAGGTTACCTAATATGATTCAGTTCTACGCTCTCAAACTCGCCTTAAGACAATTATGAAGACCTTGTTCTACGCTCAAACTCGACCTAGACCAATTGTGAAGACCGAGTTCAACGCTCTCAAACTCACCCTAGACCAATTGTGAAGACTTATTTCACCGAGTTCGACGTTCTCAAATGTGATCTCTTTCGACTGGTCCGTATCCGCTGGGTTAAGTTGTTTACAGCGCTCTCAATGCGACGCAGCTGCGTGCTAGAACTTCGGTGCTTGCTTGTAGTTCTTCAGCAGCGGTGCTGACGTCCGTAGAGTTCATGCAAGGGTGAGTTTCTTCACTTTATTGTTGTATCTTTACTCAGTTTCACTTCGTTATAAATTTATAGAGGTAATTCAAGAATAATAGGGGACATTCAGTGGCTTTTGGAAACTGAAAATGAATCATTTCTGAGACGAGAAATGTTCGGTTCAACTGCAAATTTTCTCATGCAGCTTGACTCTGCACACTCCGGTTAAGGCAACTTTGAACAATGTAATATTATAATTTGTTATAAGATTCTGCTTGTCAAAAGCGCAGAATCATTAGTTTTACTGCATTATATTGACTGGTAGAATCGGGCGAATTGAAGCAAACAAAGGTATTGATGGTACAGGGAAATTTATAGCATACATTTTTATTAATCTTTCTTGTGATAGGCAGTGGGTTTATTTTTTCATAGTTTTCTTTCTAAGACAATGATCTCATTGCTGCACGGCAGCTCGGCTGGCAGTATGAAATGTATTGACCTTTTATTAGCATATTTCCTCGTCGTAAAGTGGCACACTTATTCATTGTCAGTAATTGCAGCTAAGTTAATGTTGGTCATGGATTACCAATGCATTAGGTTAATTTGTCTTGAAGACGATCACTTATAAAAGCGGCATATATGTGTATTTACTGTCGTTCAAGAATTACGTATTTAATTCTAGGCTGAGTCAAGTATGACTCTTTTCACCATAGAATTTAACCCTTCCTTCTACTGACTGCAGTGAATATTGATTGCTTCCCTCTTAACCATATCGCGCTCGCTTCATCCAATTGCAATTTAATACAGAAGGTAACCGTTTAAAATTTGGGGTATCGTCAGGATGAGAGTACTCTATCAACGCTATACTACTACTGTTGTTGTATGGGTTGCTCTAGCTAGCGTTGGGTAAATGTGGGTCACTAACGTTGTCACTAGTGTAGCACTCATTACAAGTGATGCTGTCATCACTAGTGTTGCACTCATCACTAGTGTTGCACTCATCACTAGTGTTGCACTCATCACTAGGGTTGCACTCATCACTAGTGTTTCACTCATCACTAGTGTTGCACTCATCACTAGTGTTGCACTCATCACTAGTGTTGCACTCATCACTAGTGTTGCACTCATCACTAGTGTTGCACTCATCACTAGTGTTGCACTCATCACTAGTGTTGCACTCATCACTAGTGTTGCACTAGTGTTGCACTCATCACTAGTGTTGCACTCATCACCAGTAAGTTGACCGTGTTGCCCCGCAGGTCGCGTTCGCCCCGACGTCGCCGCTCTGCGTCACGGTCGCGCTCCCGCTCCCGCGATCGTCGGGACCGCAGCCGCTCCCGCTCCAGATCTCCTCGGCGCTCTCGCTCCCGTTCCTTCTCTTAGGTGAGTGAAATTCAATAGAATTTTTGCTCTAACTGCAATAGCTACTAGCGTTGCACCTTAACGCTCGTTATATAAGAGACTGAGAATGTGGAAAAAGTTTGCATCAGGGTGAACGCAGTTTTCATTGTTCTCTGAAGTTATGTACGAGTTGGAATTCTTCAATTTGATATTGAATGTTTTTGTTCTTGATTGACGTTCATGGTAATGCAAAAAAAAAAAATTGATACTTTTGTGTTGTGAAATAGAAATTGTAAAATTTAGATGCTTTAGTGTTCTGATGTTATTGAAAATTGCAAAAAATTATTCCGTATTTTTAAAAAGAAATTTTGATTACTCATCTGCTAAATGTCCTTGCTAATTGTTGGAAACTGTAGGCGTGTTTATAACATAGTCATCGAAGTTGTTGATGGCCTAAAAATTTCTCACCTTGAAGACGATGTACGATAATTTTGAATTCGTTTCAATGTCTACTATTTGTTTGATTCTCGTAAATCCGAATGACGGTTGGCGATTGTCCGGTGAAATAATTATATCACAACAATTTTTAACTCTGTTTACGCAGTTTATAAATTTCTTCTCATAATAACATTTGGTATCTCAGATGCAGCAGCTATGAGCGAGCATCTCATCGGCTTCTTCCAGACGCCTCCTGTCTGCACTCTTCTTCTTCTAGAATAATTGACCCCCTTATTTGATCAGTGTCAGTAGACTTTACAAACACATTGCTTCTTCTAGAATAATTGGTCCCCAAATTTGATCAGTGTCAGTAGACTTTACAAGCACATTGCTTCTTCTTGAATAATTGGTCCCCTCATTTGATCAGTGTCAGTAGACTCTTGAAAAACGCAGTGCTTCTTCTGGAATAATTAGTCAATTAATTTTATCAGTGTCAGTGGACTTTACAAACACATTGCTTCTTCTAGAATAATTGGTCCCCTTATTTTGGCAGTCCCAGTAGAGTCTTGACAAAGACACTGCTTTTTCTAGAATAATTGGTTCCCTTATTTGATCAGTGTTAGTAGACTCTAGACAAACACGTTGCTATTTCTAGAATTATCGGCCTTCATAGCTACATCAGTGTCCGCAGAATATGAAAATAATGACAAATACGATGGTTCTTATAGAAAAATTGGCCTTTAAAGTTAACCAGTGTCCGTATACGCTCAATTTATTTCCACTAATTAAACAGACAAAACAAAAGACAAGAGTTCACACTACTGTAAATGGCACCCCACAATCACTGTTCTACCGATTTGATAAAGGTTTGTCGTGTCGTTTGCAGATCGCTTCATTTTTATTCAATGGTTATATTGATTGGTGCCATGCATGTGTATGAATTGATGTTAATTGAGATCAGATCCACTTTAATGTGTTTTTACGTAGGAGGGTTGTGGTATTATTTTTAGTGCAATTTGTTTGAAATCATCTTGTCTTCATCTTCTTTGAGATGCACCAACGGAATTTCATGTGAATATAATTTTCGCTGAAACATTCATATCATAATGAAGGGGGCTTATTGTTAGTCTTGAAGTTGTTTATACTATTGAAACGCAGAACTGAGTATACTTTCATCTGACGAGTATTCGCATCAAAAACGGCATTGATTCATTGTTTCTTCCCATACTCTAATTTTTCGCTTTTTCATCGTAAGTAATTCACTGTCAGGATTCCTCTGATGAAATTTTCGTGGTGAACGAAACAGAAACAGCTCGCTTACCTTGAACCGCAACTAAAATAAGTTTTCATCTTCGTCTCCTCCTTTGAATAAATAAAACAAGATTTCTGTGATTTTTATTCCCAAATTTTGATTAGTACGAGAGTTGACTGTTACCAAATCTTAATTCAACCAATTATTAGCTAGCACACTTGATGCGATGCGTCTATTTTTTAATCGAATGAGATGGACTCGATAGTTTATTCGCCACCTACTCTTCACTTGCGATACTGGCAGATGCAGTTGAAGATGCTGCCACCAATAGTGTCACTGGGCAAGTAGTCGTTGCTCGTCTGCAGTCGCGCGTAAGGCTCACTCAGAATGTTGCCGATTTTTGGTGATACGATCTCTATTCCGTCGGGCCAGTAGAACTTCATGTCGCCGAGTCGCAGTGTCGCGTCAACCCACCAGTTTCCCACATCTGCCTTGTCTGTGCAAAAAAATAACCATTCGTTACATTGCCATTTGACCGATGTGAAGCTAACCCACAATTGCACCTACCGTAAGTATGTCTTGAACGAGAGAAACCCAACCCGTTTTTGCGCTTATCGCTCGTCTGGCTAATATATTACTTTCCAGCAACAGGCCTGTTCGGCGAGAGTGCTAAAAAAACTGCGGTATTCAGTTGATAATTTCATTATTGTTATGCAGTTCCCGTAAGTAATGAACGGGATTTGTTAGCCATTACTCTTAACTGCCTTGTCAATTTTGGGACTGTTGGCAGCTATCTTGTATGGAGGTTCCGTCGCCGTTGATTAACTTGCTAGAACGATGATCGTCACACGAATCATTCAGCTACTGGACAATTTCCTGGAATGTTCTCTTCAACAGCGTTGAGCCACTTAACAGAAACTTTTCTAACTCGCCGAGCAATGTGCGTGCGCTATTTTTGGACCTCTGTTCATCTGAAAACTTCATTAATGCGTGTTTTACAATGTGCTAGTAACCACTGACATGTGCACGTAATTAATATTAATATTATTTAAATATAATATTCATCATTCATAATATTCATTCCATATAAAATTTCTTGAATTAATGAGCCAAAAAAATAGACTATCCTACATCAATTCGTTGCAACTCCATTAAATAATCCCTACATCCTTAGATAGAATGAAAATTTAATTAGAAACCTGGAAATACCATCTGTCCAGGTCAACCCTCACTAATCACACTCGGCCCTTATCTGCCTGAAGCCGAATAAGCTCGACCAGCATTCGTGGTCATTTGTCGACAATCGGGAAAAACACGATTAGGTTTTGTGTTCACAAACTTTCTATTCGGTATTTCTTTAAAAATACACTAGGGTCGAGTTTACTTTTCGTCACTGTATTTCCAGCATTATTTTTAGCGCAGTTTCTCATTTATAGAAAAAAGCGCTATTGTGCTCGTCATGTCTGTCCGTCCGTGACCACTTTTTCGTCCACGAGAAAATACGCTCTCTGTCACTCCCTGCAGTGAGTACTGTGTTATAATTTTTTAATATGCAATGCTGTAGGGTGAACTAATCCGAAAGTGAGGCAAATCAAAGACTCAAAATTAAACTCATATTCATCCCAATTAGCTAAGTAGCTAATATTCCTCCCAAATAGATAACCAATTCTATACCGCCCAAATAGCTAACTATAGATCTCCCACACGGCAAGACGTCACTATGCCCTGCTCGTTGCCGCCGATGCTCTCTATCCTGGCTTGGGCGAACGATCATGCATCGTTGTGATGTACTCCGTCACTCAGCCTGAACTTGTTTGTTAGCTGATGCTTCGTAAACAGCGGCCGTACATCCCATCAGACGATTAACGTTGAGTAAACGTTGTTTAAACGTAATCTTGTAGTAAATAAAGTTCTTTGAACATCGTCATTTGTTTTGGGTTGTCTCAGTTACACGATACATACGCACAACGCCGTCGTATAGATATGGTCTTCAGATATGGTCTTCACAAATCGAATGATATGTCTCTTGATGTTGTAGCACGTTTATTGAATGAGGAATTTTACATTACCCCCTTTTTCGCCGTTTTCTATTTATTAATTTCACGTTTACTTTTCTTCGCATAAGTTGCACGAACAAAAAGGTCTTAGATTTTTGTTTTACATGTGTCTCCCAAGTTCCAAAACGATCCTTCGGTAATAAAAAAGTTTTTTTAACGAAACGGTTCCCCATTAATAAAGCAAAAGCGCAGCCGTTGATCACAAATTTAACCCTAAAAGTGAACCTACCTGTTTTTCATTCGAAAAAAGTGAACCTACCTGTTTTTCATTGACTCTTGTATACCTTTGTTCTTCATGAAGGTGATGAAGGCCGGGGCTGTTATGAGGAGGCTGGTGAGCACCGAGGCGCTGCTGCTGAAGTAACACTTGGACACGGAGGCCGCCTGAGTGATGGACACCGCCAGGCACCGCGTGTCCACGAAGCACCGATTCCGGCACACGCCTGAGGCAGCAAGCACAAACAGCTGGATCACAGGATGTTTTTTTTTTGTATAAAAAACGGAAAACAACATTTCGACGATATTTTTTTGACGATATTTTAGCGATGCTAGAAGTTGAACACGTATCGGACAAAAATTTTCACCGCCAAACACATTTTTGTCATACCTAACATAACAATCTCTTTTGCTGGGAGATTGCAGGGCCAAATTTAAAAAAATAATCGTTCCATGGCGTACAAAAATACTCTTTGGATTTAGGTTCATCTGCTAACTTAAAGATTACATAGTCAAATATATAATATATTCGGTCTATTGTGGGAAAGAAAGGAAAAGAAATTCACTGAGTTATACCAAGAAATATGGCACCAGTTTATTTCTTATTTCATATAATAATTACTTTTAAAATTTATTCTTGGCATCGAAAGAGGTGCATGAAGTGGATTTTAGCCTGTAGTTCTCGGTAGGAACATTCCTACTCTACGTGATCACGTGCTATTACCATTTTGATAATACGGCTTCACAAAATCACCTCGCGCCGGCGTCTTGCGACATTTCGCAGCACTCCACCGGGTATCAATACAACTAAAAAATAATGTGAATAGCTAACAAGCTGTTATAGATTTTAAATTTCCCATCCTAATGAAGAGAAAATTGCTCCAAGATATTTGTTAGGAAGGGGCGATATACTTATCATTAGACTTTAGGGTTCTATGTCACCATATCACGATTCACAGACAGCTCAATTTCGTAGCTCCAGTCAAGAATGAACGAATGATAAATCCAAGGAATATTTA